CCACTGCACTCCAGCCTGGGTGACAGAGCGAGATTCTGTCTAAAAAAAAAAAAAAGAAAAAGAACAAAGAAAGAAAGAAAGAAAATATTGGGCTGGGCGCGGTGGCTCATGCTTGTAATCCCAGCACTTTGGGAGGCCGAGGCAGGTGGATCACCTGAGGTCAGGAGTTTGAGACCAGCCTGACCAACATAGTGAAACCCCATTTCCACAAAACAAAAAATTAGCTGGCTGTGGTGGTGCATCCCTGTAATCCCAGCTACTTGATTGAGAGGCTGAGGCAGGAGAATTGCTTGAACCCTGGAGGCAGAGGCTGCAGTGAGCCGAGATCGCGTCATTGCACTCCAGCCTGCGCAACAGAGCAAGACCCTGTTTCAAAGAGAAAAGACAATATTAAATGGTGTTCTTCAAGTAGAAGGAAGGAAGTCCCAAATCCCAGCTCAGAGGTGCAGGAAGAAGTGAAGAGTGCAGGGGTGATGGGAAAACTTCCCCTCCCTGTCTGAAGTTTCACCAAAAAGGTACACAGATTTCTTGGATTGTAGTTTTATGTGACACAGGAGTTTTCAGAGCAAAGACCTAAAGGCGCAGGGGAAACTGCATTTTTATACTCAGGTTCTGTGAAGTCTGGAAATAGGATTGGACGAAAGGTTAAGACCTGACAGGCTAACAGACTCCTGGGGGGCCCAGTGAGGCCCGTGTGCTTTGGTTCCTGGCAGCCTCTCTCTGCAGCTCTCCTTCTTGCTGGGTGGAGGCACAACCCCCCGGAATAGGGGTCTGACCACCTGCAGTCAAACAAGGCAGGCCAGAGAATTCCTTTATGGCCAGTTTTTACACAGAAAGACAGGAAAGTTATTAGAGTCATACTTTTAGGTTTATGGCTGGCTTTGGGGAAAAGGGGTTCAGGTTTCTACGACCTGCCTCGGAGAATAAGGGGCCAGAGACAGGGGGCAGGAGAAGGCCTGGCTTCCAAGGCCTTCACTCCGGGTGTCATTTCCTGAGCCCCAACAAAAGCAACAGAAAGGGTATATTGTGTACAAACCTAATGACTCGTAACCACATAAAACAATCATGTTACAGGGTTTCACATATTTCTGGGGAATTAGGATTTACAGCAACAGCAGCGCAGGTGCCCTGAGGGAAAAGTGGAGAGGGGAGGAAAGCCTTCAGAAGATGCCCTCCGTCCTGTCCAGGCCTGTGCCTGTCGCCTCACGTGGCGAGCGCCTGCAAGCGTCGTTCCTTGAAGTGTCTAAGACGCAGAGATAATCCCGGGTGTCCAGGCGGGCCCTGAGTGTAATCTCGGTGTTCCTGTACAGGGGAGACGCAGGGGGATTTGACACGGGGGAGGCTGTAATGGCCTCAGGAGAGATTGAAAGATTGTTCTAAAATGTGTCCCTAGGATTTGTTTCAGTGAGGTGTGGGGAGACACACAGACCCGGCCATGATGGGCCAGGAGGAAGGCCTTGCTGTGTGTAGAGACGTGTGCGATTCTGATTTAGATTCTGGGGCTCTGTGAGGCAAGAGATTCACACAGGTCTCTGCCCTGCAGGGGACACCTTTTGGGTGATGGTCCAGTGGCTTATAATAAACTTGGGGAGGCCGGGCGTGGTGGTTCACGCCTGTAATCCCAGCACTTTGGGAGGCTGAGACGGGCGGATCACGAGGTCAGGAGAGCGAGACCATCCTGGCTAACACGGTGAAACCCCGTCTCTACTAAAAAATACAAAAAAAAAACTAGCCGGGTGAGGCGGCAGGCGTCTGTAGTCCCAGCTACTCGGGAGGCTGAGGCAGGAGAATGGCGTAAACCCGGGAGGCAGAGCTTGCAGTGAGCTGAGATCCGGCCACTGCACTCCAGCCTGGGCGACAGAGCGAGACTCCGTCTGAAAAAAAAAATAAAAATAAAAATAAATAAATAAATAAATAAATAAATAAATAAACTTGGGGAAAAGGCCGCTGGTCGGCAGAGTCACTGAGGGCTGAGACCACGCCTGGCACGTTGCTTCCGGGTCCATCTTTCACCCGGGGCATCCGGGCAGGGGTGGAGCAGCAGCCATCGCCGGGCTCCCCAGGCAGCGTGGCCAGCAGCATCGTGCCCTCAGGCATGCGCCCATTTCTCTTTGCTCAGAGAGTCCAACGGGGCTTGCCAGGCAGTCCAGGGGTCTATGGGAGGTGACCTCCTCCCACACTTGGCATCCAGAAAGCCACTGAAGACAGGGGAAGCCGCCCCCTCCCACAGGTGGAAGACAGCAAGGGACAGCTTTGCCTCCATCCTGCCCAGAGAGTCCTCGGCAGCCGAGCTGAGCTTGTGGGGCGCTGGTCCTATGCCCCAGCGCATACGGGCAGCTGGGGATGGGGCCAGAAGCTCAGGGTCTGTGACAGCCTCTGTCCCGGGAGACCCTGGGGTCAGCCAGTCACTTGTGGTTTTAAGAGTGGACGGCACTGGCCCGGCGTGGTGGCTCACGCCTGTAATCCCAGCTCTTTGGGAGGCCGAGGCGGGCGGATCACGAGGTCAGGAGATCGAGACCATCCTGGCTAATGCGGTGAAACCTCATCTCTACTAAAAATACAAAAAACTAGCCGGGCGAGGTGGCGGGCGCCTGTAGTCCCAGCTACTCGGGAGGCTGAGGCAGGAGAATGGCGTGAGCCCGGGAGGCGGAGCTTGCGGTGAGCTGAGATCGTGCCACTGTACTCCAGCCTGGGTGACAGAGCGAGACTCGGTCTCAAAAAAAAAGTGTATGGCACAAGGCCAAGTTTTTGCTGGTTCTTGCATCAGAAGCTGCTGGGCAGCTTATGGCTGTCGGGGTGGCTGAGAGATGCCAGCTGGCCAAGAAGAGGCTGCCAACGCCTCTACAGTGGAGTCTCTGAGGGCACTAACGAGAGTGCCTGCAGATTTTAATTTGTTTTGTTTTTAGACAGGGTCTTGCTCTGTGCCCAGGCTGGAGTATAGTGGCGCAATCACGGCTTACTGCAGCCTTGACCTCCCAGTCTCAAGCAGGCCTCCCACCTCAGTCTCCTGAGTACTTGGGACTGCAGGCATGTGCACGCCTGGCTAATTTTTTTTTTATATATTTTTTGTAGATAGGGTCCCTCTGTGTTGCCCAGGCTGGTTTCGAACTCTTGCGCTCAAGTGATCCTCCCACCTCAGCCTCCCAAAGTGCTGAGACTACAGGCGTGAGCCACCACCCTGGCTGGTTTTTATTTGGACATAAAATTTGGAAATGAGGAATATGTTGCCACCAGAACCCAAAAAGAACTAAAAGATATTGTACTGTGACAGTAGGAGGGCGTTTTCCATGCATGTGGGCCCGCACCTCTGAAGGAGGTCTGGTCTGCGGAGGTCCCGGCGCAGCCTGGAAAAGGTGGGCTGTGTCCTTGGAGGTGGCGGTGAACTGCAGCTTCGGCTTTGAGGTGGCTGAAATGGGCCCTGAGTGGAGCAGAGGCCACGTCTGCGCAATGCATGCTGGCCGGTTGCTGACTGGGGAGTCACTGGTTGAGACCCTGCTGGGTGCAGGGTGTGGGGCCTAAGGGGCGACTGCAGCCTCAAGATTGTGAAAACCCACCATGAGGCACCCGTTATTTTTTCCTGGTGAAAGAACAGGCAAAATTGGGCCTTTGTTTTCTCTGCTTGTATCTAGGTAGTTACTGTTTTTTTCCTTTCTCCCCACCACCATCCCTTCTTTCTGCTTAGGCTTTGATCCACCCTAAACCCTGATTTTTAGTTTCTGTCTCTGGCTGATAAAAGGGAAGGAGGGGAGGGAAGCTGCCCCCCTAGGATGGCCCCTGTCTGCTGCATCTTTTTCCCTCCTTTTTTTCCTCTTAAACAAAAATCTTGGTTTTTGTCTTAAAAATCTGGCTTATATCTCCAGGTACGTAGAATTTTTTTCTCTTTTCTTCCTGTCCATCCTGATCGTATTACCTGCATTTTTTTTTCTTTTGAGACGGAGTTTTGCTCTTGTTGCCCGGGCTGGAGTGCAGTGGCGCAATCCTGGCTTACTGCAGCCTCCGCCTCCCGGGTTCAAGCGATTCTCCTGCCTCAGCCTCCCAAGTAGCTGGGACTACAGGTGCCCGCCAACATACCTGGCTAATTTTTATATTTTTAGTAGAGAGAGGGTTTCACCATGTTGGCCAGGATTGTCTCGATCTCCTGACCTCAGGTGATCTGCCCACCTTGGCCTCCCAAAGTGCTGGGATTCTAGGCGTGAGCCACCGCACCTGGCCTATTTTCTGTATTCTTAATGCACTGGCCTTGGGGGTCTTGATCCTGGAGAGACCACAGCTCCCAGAGCTCACAGGTGCCTCCTTGTCACACTCACACCAAGCCAGTGTCCCTGTCCTCAGTCACCCCAGGGCGAGGTATTGACTGACCAGGGGCTGCCGAGCCCAGGACCCAGGGAAGTCGCTCCAACTCCAACCCTGTCCTGATCTCACCTGGCAACGTCCACCCTGCCTCATTTGCCCTTCCTGTAGCGCCCCCATGAACTGGGGCTCCCCACCACTCCGTGGCCCTGTGTGCTGTGCCCCCTTCTCTTGGGAAATGTAATATATCATCTTTGCAGGAAGTCGTCTCCACATCTGCCACCTTACCGCACCTGATTAAAACTAAGCCCAGGTACAAATTTTAGAACAAAGGTGTGTGGCCTCTGGAAATCAGCTCTGGAAGCTAGAAGGGGCCAGTAGCTTTGCCTTGGGAGGGAGTGTGGTGCTGCTGACATGTGGACCTGCAGCGGGTTTGTGCTGGCCTGGGCCACATCACAGCACCAGCACAGCAGGTCCACACAGTGGGACGGATTGACAGGAAGCTGGGAGATCCCCTTCCAAGGGCAGCACACAGTTTTGTTAAATTTGCTAAGCCAAAATTCCTTAACCACAAGCGCTCCTACCCCGTCTCCGCTTTCCCTCTTGCTGGGCTGACACTGGAGAAGCAGTGGGCACTCTGTGGCCTGGCAGGGGGACGTTCAGTTGTGGAGACATCAGCAGGTCAGCAGCCTCCACCATGCCCTTCCCAGCCACTTCCTTCCAGACGTCCTATGGGAGAAACAGCTTCCAGCAACACCCATGGCAATTAACACAGAGGAGTGACTCACAGGAACTTCTGGAAGAGGAGGAAAGATCTTGCTGATTTAACAGGAAATGCCAACATCAATGAGAAAATGAGGGACCCTCACACTAGCCTCACGAGAACCCGGTGGATACGGCTCATCCCAGAGGGTGCCTTGGATCAGCACCTGGGGAAAAAAAGCAGCACCTGAAACTGGTCAGCCTGCAGAGGAGAGAAGACTGAGCAAGTTTTCTCCAAATTTCACAACAGGCTTTACCATGTGGATGATATAACCAGTCGTCAGTACATTTCTGTAAAGAAATGTACTGGTTTAAGAAAACCAGCCATGCCAGTGGGCCTGAGGATTACCTTTCATTTTCCTCTTTTCTCTCTGGAAAATGATATTGCAAAATTGTAAAAAGAGACAATTAAAAAGTGGATGAAAGGGTATCACAGTGAGCCATTATGAATAAAAAATCTCAGTATTTTCTGGATTTTGTGGTGCTATTAGTCAAGTTTTAAGAAATGCTTAATTTGTGATTTCTTCTTGCATCTAATTTTATTTTATTCTTTTTTTTGAGACGGAGGTGTTGCTCTGTTACCCGGGCTGGAGTTTCGTGGCGCAATCTTAGCTCACTGCATCTTCCGCCTCCTGGGTTCAAGTGATTCTTCTGTCTCAGCCTCCTGAGTAGCTGGACTTACAGGCACATACCACCACGCCCGGCTAATTTTTATATTTTTAGTAGAGACAGGGTTTTACCATGTTGGCCAGGCTGGTCTCAAACTCCTGACTTCAGACAATCCGCCCGCCTTGGCCTCCCAAAGGGTTGGGATTACAGGCGTGAGCCACTGCACCCGGCCTGCATCTAATTTTGTAATAGTTATTTTGCATTTCTTCTTCTTCTTCTTCTTTTTTTTTTTTGAGACAGAGTCTTGCTCTTGTTGCCCAGGCAAGAGTGCAGTGGCGTGATCTCGGCTCACTGCAACCTCCGCCTCCCGGGTTCAAGCGATTCTCCTGCCTCAGCCTCCCGAGTAGCTGGGATTACAGGCATGTGCCACCACACCCAGCTAATTTTGTATTTTTAGTAGAAATGGGGTTTCTCCATGTTGGTCAGGCGGGTCTCGAACTCCCGACCTCGTGTTCGCCCGCCTCGGCCTTCCAAAGTGCTGGGATTACAGGCGTGAGCCACCATGCCCAGTCTGCATTTCTTAAATAGATCCCCATCAGCAGTTGAGAGCTCTGGCTCTCTAACTGGATGCCTTCCCGCTGCCCACAGGCAGCCCTTCCTGGTCACTCACATTCTTCAGGGTGCTGTCTGTCCCAGAGCACAGCTCCTGGAGGGTGGAGGTCCCCTGAAGCTTTGGCTACATTCCCTTTACCCTGGGGTCCACCCGGGGTCCTGCCCCAGCAGCTCAACCAACAGCTTCTGGACAAACAGAATCCTCCCCGGTTGAGGACGGAGTCTCCCCCCTCAGCATATCAGGGGCCTGCTCCTCCCTCCTCAGACTGGGTCTCCAGCTCACCCTCCACTCCTGGAATCCCCCTGTGGCCTGGGTGCCCCCACCAGCATAGCCCCCAGGGCAGGTCTCCCGGCTCCTTCCCTCCACAGTCCACAGCCCCCAATCCCTTTCTGGCGTTTCCCCGACAGGCCCCCCTCTGCTCTCCCCTCCCCCTGGGACCGCCTGCGGCGATGGCCCTGGAGCCCCGCCCTCTGCAGGTCCCTGCTCGGTGGTCTGGGGTGAGGTCCCTGGCTGCGAAGACTCCTGTCCACAGGCCCACGGGGCCAGGGACCCAGAGTGCTGCCAACGGCGGGGAGGGGTGACCCGCGTGGACGCGGCTCTCAAAGGCCACCAACGCCAGCTGAACAAGACCCGCGGCGCGCACCGGGCAGAAGAGCTGGGCGCTCGGCGTGAGGCCCGGGCGCGGGTCGCGAGGCGACAGCCTCGGGCCGCAGGCGGGTTCCCCGTTGCAGTGAGGGCACCAGTCGGGCGCAGGGGGTCCTGGGCCTCGGGCAGGACCAGGTCTGCGCGTGCGAAGACCGCGAAGACCCCACGGACGGAGCCGCCCAAGCACCGCAAACCCATTTCCCGGGACCCACTGTGGGAGGCCCGCGGCGCTGCCCTTCGCCTGGGGCGCCCTGCCCGGCGGGGAGCCTAGGACAGCATCTGCATCTCGCTTGGGAGGCGCCTGTCTGTGCAGCCGCGGGCCGCGGCCCCGCAGGTACAACGCCGCGCGTGCGGCGTCCGGAGTCCGCGTGCAGGGAAGTCTGGGCCGGTTGTGGTCAAACCGAGCCCACGCGGACCAGTTCCCCACGGCGGGTTCGCGAGGGGCCCCCACGCGCAGGTCCCGCCCCGCCCCATCACAAGGCCCGCCCCCCAGTACCGCCCATCGACGGGGCACGGCTGCTTTCCGTAGCAGGCCCCGCCCCACCCGCCCCCAGATCCGCCCACCAGCAGCGCACGGCCCCGCCCCGCGGCCCGCGTCTGCGCAGTGGGGCGGGCGCAGTCGGAAGCCGGGCTGCGCGGCGCGGCGGTGGAGCTGGGGCTGTTGGACCCCCAGCGCGGACCAAAAGGGGCTCGGGCCGCTCGGGCCGGGAATGGCGGCGGCGGCCGAGCCCGGGGCCCGTGCCTGGCTGGGCGGCGGCTCCCCGCGCCCCGGCAGCCCGGCCTGCAGCCCCGTGCTGGGCGCAGGAGGCCGCGCGCGCCTGGGGCCGGGACCCGGGCCGGGGCCGGAGCGGGCGGGCGCCAGAGCCCCGGGCTCCGTTGCCGGGCCGGGACACAGCTTCCGGAAGGTGACGCTCACCAAGCCCACCTTCTGCCACCTCTGCTCCGACTTCATCTGGGGGCTGGCCGGCTTCCTGTGCGACGGTGAGCGCCTGGGCCCGATGCCCACCCGGCTGCAGCCCTGCCTCTGCCCCGCGGGCGGAAGCCTGAGCGGAGGTGGCACCGGCGCTTTCGGGGTGGGGGGCGGGGTCCCAGCCCTGTTCTTGGGACCTGCCTTCGTGGGGCGGCCGGGGCCTGTGGGCCATGGGGCCGTTCCAGGCTGCGGGTCTCCGGGCTTCCTCACCTGGGAGGTACGGGCAGTGTCTCCATAGTGCCGCGCGATGGCTGCGACGGGGGCTGTGCCTGATGCGAGCGGGACCTCCGCTGGGGTCCCCATGGCCGGCTTCCTCTCCCACTGGCTGGGGCAGCAGGTGTGGCCGAGCAGTGCTGGCCTGGGCCCCTGGCCCTGGCCCTTCTCATGCTGTGGCCCAGAGTCCCAGCCACCTGGAGACCAGGCCGGGCCCTGCCGCCCGGTGCGCGTGCCCCAGCCCTGCTCCACCCAGCTGCCCAGCCCCGTCTGGGGTGAGGACAGCCCTTCCTTGCTCTGGGCCCGGGTGCTCCCAGGGCTGGCTCTCATCTTCCCCCGCGGCAAGCAGGCGGGCGCTGGGGAGCACAGCCCAGCCTCTGGAGGGAGCGAGGGTCAGGACCGGAGTCGTTTGACACTTACTGTGTCCTGGCCAGGGACGCCGAGGTGGCAGGAGCTAAGGAGCCTCTGCCCTGCTCAGGGATTCAGGCCTTTGCCCTGGGGATAGGGGTCCACTCAGGCCAGGGCCCGCAGAGGAGACTGTCCCCTCACACAGGGATGTTGCCTGTGGTGGAAATGGCATGGTTGTTCCGACCCCCAGGGCGCACAAGTGGCCTGGCCTGCCAGCTTCTTTGTCACATCAGAGCATGGCACAGCCATGCCTGCTGCCTGGGGACGCCAGGGGCTTCCCCCGAGGTGGGGAGTGTGCATGTGTGGCTGAGGCAGCTCCCTGCTTGAGGCCAGACTCCGGGTCCCCTCCCCCTTGGGAGGGGGCACAAGGACCCTCCTGGGCAGCACCCAAGGAAGAGGGGCCAGCAGAGCTATGGGAAGAAGGGCACCCTCCCCCACCCCTGGAGACCCAAGCATGGGGCATGGGGTGAGCAGGCCCTGTCTCCACGGCAGAGGAGGGACACGGGCGCTGCCTGTCTCCCCTCCTTCTCTCGTGGACCCTGGCCTGCTTCCAGAGCCTTTCTGTTAAGCTGCCAGAAGGAACTTCTCCTAGTCCCATCTGGAGACTGGGGTAGCCAGGGCTGCAGCAGGTGAAGGGCGCTGTGTTGTGGCACCAGCTGGGCCTTCTGGAAGAGCTCCCTGTCCCAGCTGGGCAGCCTGGAGCTCCCTGGCACAACCTTCACCCGGGGCTGTCTTGGCAGGTGTGTCCCTGGGTGCCTTGCCCACTCCCAGCCCCCAGCAGCCTTTGCCCCAGCCCAGGGCTCCTGCCCTCCCTTCTGCCCTGGCCCCACCCTCCTGTCTGTTTCACTGCTGGGGTGTGGTGCTTGCTGCTCTTATGTCCTCCCGAGCACCCTGCTGGCTGAGGTGCTCCCTGGGTCCTGTGCACATGGCCAGAGCTCCTTGGGAGGCTCAGGGCTGTCTACTCCCCAGCAGCTCCTGCCTCCCAGAGCCCTCACCTGCCCTGGGTGGCTCTAGGTCTCAGGCATGGTGCACAGCACGTAGCAGGGACAATTAGGGGTGTGCGCAGTTTCGGGGGAGCGAGACACAGGTGTCCCTGGCAAAGCCAATCTGCAGAAGCCCGAGATGCCCCTGCCACTTAGCAAGCCTGGTGAGCCCAGGGCTGGCCCTTGAGAGGCCCAGCTGCAGAGGCAGGAGGAGCGCTGGGCCCATGGGCGAAGGGGAGGGGCTGCTCTCTGGATGAGAGGACACACTCATTGTCCTCCAGGATGGTCAGGACCACCCAGGTTCTTGCTCCTGGGCTGCAGGCTGTCTCCAATGAGTGGGGCTGGGTGGAGGGGGTGCGGGGGGAACTAGGAGAACCACAGGGTGGGTATGGCAGTAGTTGCCCTGGGGCCTCTAACTTCCTGGGTAGGACAGCCATTGGGTGGGACAGGGGCCAACTCACACAGCGCTCATTCCCACAGTCTGCAATTTCATGTCCCACGAGAAGTGCCTGAAGCTCGTGAGGATCCCGTGCACGAGTGTGGCGCCCAGCCTGGTCCGGGTGAGTGTGGGGCTGGGTGTTGCACCTGCAAGAGGCTGGGGGATGTGTCAGCTCTCGTGGGGCTGAGGTACTGAGACCTTTCATGTCAGATGTTAGTGATACCTGCAGTTGAAAGGCAAAGGTCAGACACTGCTCGGGATTAAAAGGCTCAGCACCCTGCATGGATCTGTAGGGAATGATGATGATAAAAGCCGGTCCCAAAGGTCACAGTTAGCAAGATCCTGTCCACAGAACGTGCTCAAAATGACGAAACTAAACATCTACACAGATGTAGAGAGGTCTCCAGGCGGGGAAGTGGGTGTGGCTGTGACATGCAGCGTGAGGGCTCCTGGGGGGATGATTTCCGCGTCTGGGGTGTCAGCATCTCAGCTGTGATGTGACCTTAGTTTGCAAGATGACACACTTAGGGGAGCTGACAAAGGCTTCAGGGGGTCTATGCCATTCCTCATAGCTGCGTGTGAACCCACAGGCAC